GTGTCCTGGCATTCCGGCAGGGAATCCCGGGCTTTCCTGCAACTGCCACCGCAAGAGCTGCAGAGCAGCAGTGACCCAGGTACTCCGAACATCAGCTCCTGTACCAACCAGAAACTGTCTCTAAACGCCTCCTGAGTGCTGCAGGTAAACTCAGCAGCCCCATCTCCGAGAAGCCTTCAGTCTTTGATAACCCACCAGCTGTAAAACCTGGCGCTAAAAATCTGGGTTGCAGTACTGAATCTTCAGGATGCAAATTTAACAACAGATGCGTGATTGGGTAGCTGCTACAACCTCACAAAAAAGCAACATTTCCAATGGAGTTTTTCTAGCTTGCAACAAATGCTAGGTAAACAAGAAAAGCCAAAATTCAGTTACTCATGTAATTTTAATTTATTTCACTCCTGATCAAATACTCTTTTCTTCCAGGAATACTCCATTTCATTGCAAAATACTGTTCCTTAAGCAGGAGAAATCTATTGTAATTAAGTTAATCTTAAATTTTTTAGTCACATCATGGCAGACTAGCAATATGCTATGAATTAACTTCTTACAACGGATTTCCTCTCTTCAGATAAAAAGTTAAACTTTCATAGATTTGAATAAAAATCAGAATATAATTCTTACTCAGAATGTGCTAGCTGGAAAGTATGTTTAAAGTCATTGCCTCCTTTACGATGTTAATCTACATACCTTAAAACACCAGCATTACACCTTCATGTACAAATACGTAAGACTACCGTGTCTTTGAAAACCTAGGTGTACTTAAAGGGTTAGGATTTGTTAGAAGGCAATACCAGTTGTGAAAATTACTAAGGAAACAAATACTAACAACTGCCATTAGGACCACCACTGTCTTAGCAGCAAAGCAGTCAACGTGACACTAGGAGTAGTGAAAATTAATACTAGCCTGTCTGCTTCCCTGCTGCCTTCCCTTGCTGCCACCACCCTACGCAAGCAAACGGAGGGAAACCAATTTTAACGATGACCTAGCACAACCAACAGAGCAAAGAATGATGTAAAGTTGCATCAAACACATTGCATCACTTTGTTATGTGCTCAAGACAAAGCACCCAGACCTGTCTCTAGGAGTTTACAACTCTGAAGAAAAACTTCTCGATCAGGTATCAGTAGAAGACAAAAAGAAGCAACTCAACTCTAACAGTGCTAATATATGCATCACATGAACCTTAAAAAGCTGTTTAAGGCAAAGACTAGATTATACACACCTTAGAATTACGGTATAGTATAGAAATATGGCAAACAGAACATCGAAAGGAGATTTTCAGACACTTCTTTACAATGAGCCCGATTTTGAATGAATCTGAGGCATAAACATAAAACTAAAGGAGCCACAGGCTCTGACTAGTGAAAGGATAAACAAGAGATTTAACTCCAACACACTTTTCACAGGTAATATTAGTATTGCAACACCCGCAGTCACACCAAACAAACTGTTTTCAAACATGGAATGCAAGTTCTCAATAGGGGATTGGACACAGCGAACACCACTATTATGTCTTCTCTTAACTGTACCTCAAGGTGCTGTAAGAGAGATTTTCCCTTTTTATTGATTTCATTGATGAGGGTGAATATAGCCACTTTGATTTCCTGTTCTACTCGTTTGTTAGTTTCATTTACTTCTTTTATCCTAAAAAAAAGAGAAACGTATTGTCAAGCAGTCACTTTATACTATGCTGCCAAACACTAAACACCACCGGCCTCTTCCCACCCTTCAAGAGTGAAGGGGCAATTTCTGTATCGAAGAAGTTCCCATAAGTGCAAAATTTGTAGCTTGTTTGATTTCTAACCGAGAAATCATCATTGATCAACTTTTTTTAAAGAAACCATCTAAAATTTCCGGTTTGGAAAAAAAAATTAAACAGTCCAAGGTCAAGATGGTATCTCAACGAACAACCTGTGTTTTACTTAAAATAATAGGAAACAGTCCTTGCGGTTTATACACTTTACATGTTTACACACAGAGATATACCCAGCCAAGACCAAACCTGTGTGTATGTACACATAAATATTTATCTCTGTATCATGTCTCCTTCACTATGACAAATTTATACAAGATGCTTAAAACTTCTACGCTATTGTATGTTAGCCAGAAAGGAAGTCAATCCTGAATTTCAGATGGACCCCTCCACCTCCCTCAAAAAACCCCTGCAACAAAAAGGTTATTACATACCTGTAATCAAAATGCAATAATGATATAAACATTCCACTAATTATTTGCCTGACATTACTCTACATTATTCTCTAGTGCTTTACTACTACTGCCTTCCAGTTTTTCATACCTCACACCTCTTTACCATTTACTTCGTCATTCTTCCTCACTTTTAGTGTCTTCACTATTCTCAACTTCTTCAGACTCAAGCAAATTATCTTGAGTTCTGTCCACACAATTTGAAATAAAGCATTTTTTAAAATCCATTGCAAATTCTGGCATTATTTTATCCTATGCTGCCTTAATCTCATGACAACATAGCGTTGCAGCAGGATTCTTTATTTTGCTTGTAGAAGAGTCAGAGCACAATACCTTCCTATAAGCCAGTCTGAGCATAAAGACTTAAGCTGTCCTTTTTTAAAGGGCTTCTTCCCTACTAAGTCAAACATCTGAACTTATGATGTGATCATATCAGGATGAATGACAAGACCAATACTCATTTGTCTGACGATGATCTTCACTGTTGGTGTCAAACGCCCTTTAAGGCACCTTGGACACACGTGCTTTTTCGTGACAGCACAACCTGGTCTTCTACTCCAAAAAACATTCAACCAACCCTTCATTAAGTCAGAAGGCACCCATCCTTGGCTTTGGCACCTAACAGTTATTCCAGTAGGCAGCTATTCCTTCAACACTGTTTCAGGCTTCACAATCACATACGATGGCAATGTCACACCATCTGCTAACACTGACAACATTATTGTAATACTTTTTTTTTTTCCCATTCCCTGAAGTTTTTATGATAATGGCATTTGTGCCCTACACTTCAAAGTAACTGAACGGCACGTCAAAGTAAACAAGTGTCTCACACTACTCATTTGGCTCAGCAGATAATCATGATCTTTACACAATCACATGCTGCAGAAATTCATTGAATTTTCAGTGACGCCAGAAACTCTTAGGCAAAAAAACCATTACAATGTGTTACTCATATATGCATCACACATTATTGGCCCTGAATTCTTATCAGAGAACGTTTTGTGACATTTCTTGAGCTTTCAGTTTAATATTTTCCGTGTAACTGAGTTTCTGTCTCCAAGCATACACCAATTCTACAGCTTGTCCTCCTGCTTCACAATGGTGTTCTCTTTTGGGTCCCTTCAAAGAGTTACATGCCAAATCAGCACATAAAAATTTGCATTTTCATTGCTTCCATCTTCACACACTTGCCTCTCACGTCGTATGCTCTCCTTCCCTTATAACTTTTTTTTTAAATGTACATGGTACTGCTAGGAGTTAAAAATTTGCAGAACTTCTCCTTATATCTTTGGTACGCTTCCTTCTACCCTTGTACTTCCCATCTCCAGATGATCTGTCATTTTGAAAATGACTTAAAAGCTGCAGAAAGCTCACAAAACCACCAAGAATCACAGCGGAACTCCCTAACCTCCAGCACACCAATCACCACAAGTTGGTGAAAAGCCAGCAACGATGACGTGCTCTCTCTGTCACTATATTTAATATTCTATACAACATTGAATTTAAGCTAACCCTGGAATTCTTAAGTTAAACTACCTAAGGAAAAGCTTGTGTTCCTTTCAGGTAATTACACTAATTCATTTTCAAAACAAGTTTTTCTTACATAGTTATCAAAGAAGCATTCATATGAAACAAAAAAATTCAAGAAAAATTTGTTTATCTCTACAGCCAACACTTCTATCACCTAGAGCTGAACTTAGCAGAAACCCTAAGATGGGTCCTGCCTTGCCTTTTGTATTCCCTTTTTTGTAATAAATGTCTGTAATAAATGTGTTACATCTTTGGTTCTACTCAAAGTTGCCATAAAAGACATCATCTTTGACATTCATTTCTTGTAACAACTTCCAACAGATGCAGAGAAGAAAGCATTGGGAAAAGCAATTAAGTCCAATACAACTAAAGAAACAGAATCAACTAAAATGTAAGTATTATTCTAGTTCCATCATTCATCTTACTGTGATTCATTAAAAAGACAATGTAATAGTAACAGTTAATCATTTTGGGGTACTTACCTATTCTGAACTTGGGTAGCTGCAAAATTCACATAATTCTTCTTCTCAAGAAGTTTGGCCAATAGGTTTTCAATTGCACCCTTCTGGTTCTGAAAAGCTTCTTCCAGAAACTGATACCTTTTCAACACGCAAAAGAAGGTATCAATTACCAACGAGCAATGTGCTGAAACTAAGCGTTCCCAGTTTAGGTGTAAAGCTATACAATTTTGAAAAAAATATGACAAAACACACAGAAAAAAATCAAACTGTATGCATGCTGATAAGTGTGCAAAATGTTTCAGTACTGATAAAATCCTTTGTAAGTGTCCAGAAGACTGAACCTCTACGGGTCACTTATTAATTCCAACCACACAGGGAGACAATGTACTGCATCGTTTCACAAGATAACAAGCTATGGAACTCCAGCTAAAGGAGGTATCAGAAATTTCAGAGTTTGAGGAATCATTTTGTTAATGTTAGATAAGGAAAATGCACTAATAGCTTAAACACACATTAAACAATACCAAAAAAACTACCTCCAAGAAAGTTTTTCAGCTGAGATTATACTGCTCGTATTTGACTGAATTAAACTGAAAGAAAATATTCCTTTTAAAAAAAAACAACCAAACACTTTTTTCTTTTTTTTTTTTTGTACTTCCAAGTGAAGAACATATCATTCCCTTCCAAGTTCTTCAACCAAACGGCTACTGTATCAAAGGCATCTTCCATTACTTCATCAGAAAAGAGTGCAAGTAGCTACACTGAAGAAAATAACGAAATTAGTTGCATTTTCCTAACATACTATGCATCACAAGGGGAATTAACAATGCAACAGAAGCAAAGCCTATGCTGAAAATGGCAAGGGAAATTACGTAGCTCCAAGAGTTTTGATCTTTTCTGACTTTACTGCTCAGCTATCAGAAGATTCCCCCCAAAACCCAGGATTCCTATCAGTCACTTGCCACTTCTTGTCTTCGCAATAGGTAGACTTCATGCTTCTGAAAAATAATTCGTTAACAACAGGGAAAACTTAGTTTCCCAGAATGCCTTCCCTTCTTCACTACACTAAATCCCAACATTCCAATTGGCAGAAAACTCCTACAATTCAAGTGAAGCATCTTGTAAGCTGCATTAGAAGCAACTGATACTATCTCCCAACCACAGCTGAAAGGAAAGTGGTGTCGTCTTCTGTCAAAATCCAGAACATTAGAATCTAAACTAACAGGGGAGGACTGTTTGGATATACGATCAAATTTACAGTAACACTGTTTCTTGACTCAAATTACTTGATTCAAATGTCCTGGGCTGCATCCCCAGCAGCGTGACCAGCAGGTCGAGGGAGGGGATTCTGCCCCTCCACTCCACTGTGGTGAGACCCCCCCTGTAGTACTGCGTCCAGCTCTGGGGGCCCCAGTACAGGAGAGACATGGAGCTGTTGGAGCGAGTCCAGAGGAGGGCCACGAAGCTGATCGGAGGGCTGGAGCACCTCTGCTATGGAGACAGGCTGAGAGAGTTGGGATTGTTCAGCCTGGAGAAGAGAAGGCTGCGGGGAGACCTAATTGCGGCTTACCAGTACCTGAAGGGGCCTACAGGAAAGCTGGTGAGGGACTGTTTATGAGGGAGTGTAGTGACAGGACAGGGGGTAATGGGTTCAAGCTGAAGGAGGGGAGATTGAGATGAGATGTTAGGAAGAAATTCTTCCCTGTGAGGGTGCTGAGGCCCTGGCACAGGGTGCCCAGAGAAGCTGTAGATGCCCCATCCCTGGCAGTGTTCAAGGCCAGGTTGGATGGGGCTTTGGGCAACCTGGGCTAGTGGAGGGTGTCCCTGCCCATGGCAGGGGGGTGGAACTAGATGGGCTTTAAGGTCCCTTCCAACCCAAACCATTCTATGATTCTACTTACAATTGTAACAACAGAGATTTACGCAAAGAGAACACTATTCAAAACAGTAACGACTCTGCTCCCGCCATTCAGTTTGTATCAGTAATAGACAACTTTCAGCTACAAGAGTTCAGATTCCTCAGTCTCACTGTTAAAATGCTGCTTTTTCTAAGAACAATCTAAAGTTCTTGCAGACAGACAGCATCATAAGATTTTAGGTACTATAATGTGAAAAGTAGCAATACCAAAGGCCACAAAATTTGAAACGTTTGGAGATCTGCAGAATTTCTGAAACTATTTTCATTAAGTTAAAAATCAGATTTCCACTTTAAGGAGAAAATAACAAGAAAAGAAAGATCTACATTTACCTAGTACTGCTAAAATAAAGTGTGTGGACTGAAAACTACCTAAACTCGAGGAATCACACACCATTCAGCTGCTAAAGGAATGTCAGCTTTCTACAGAATCACCAGCAATTCTTTCACTCGAAATTTTGAACTGAATACTGGACCATGTTGCAACTGAAATGGTGATTCATCCTCCTTTGGCACAAACTATTAGAATTTCAGGTAAGAAGAAAGGAGGAGATTAGAATCAATTCTTGTTTCCACTGAGCATGATTTTCCTTCAGTGATTTAGCGAGCTTCATAAAAACCTCAGTTCTACTTCATGGCAGATGAAACAATCGCCCTAATCATCTGTAATTCACACCTGCAGACAGAATCATTTTTAAAAGAGTATTTTGCAACAAAGCGTGTTAATAGCAAAGTATTCTCTCCTCTTCCTGGAAGCGAACAGGTAAGTAGAACAAGATACATCTGTTAATCAGTTAGCATCATGCACAAAACAGATGCAAAGGAATCGATGAGAAAAAGTTAGTTAACATATCCTAGGAGACCACGCTTTCTGGACTAGTGTGTCCTTCAGGATATTTATAATCAAGCTCAGGAATGTTCGAGGTTGTTAATATTTTAATAGTACTAATTTCAAAGTAGAAGTTCTCCATTAGGCTGCTGTAGCAGTCTATGAGAATAATCACTGCTCTGGAAAAAAACAAAACAAAACACTAAATTCAATATTGCAATGTACTGTCAAGCACCTTTACAGAGAAGTGTTACTTGTAGACTGAGTAGGAAAAGCTGTGCTGTAGTGGCTGATAAATACATATTTATCCCCAGACCCTCTATTATGACACTGCAAAATACTTTTTCAAGCATTCTAACAACTACGTAACAGAATTGCTAAAGAGCAGGAAGATTTAGTGTACCTTAAGAAGTTCCAACTTTTTTCTAGCAGCCAAGGCAAAAGCAAGCTTGAGACAAAACCTGTAATTTCTTTTTACTTGGAAGGAGGCAACTTTCAACCAACTAAACCCAATATTTTTCCCTCTGTACTAGGAATATATATTAATGTATGAGGCAAAATTCATACCTTCCCTTACAAAATTACCCTAAATTGGAAGACTGGTGCATAATAAAATATGCCCTTTCAAAAAATTACCTCTTCCATGACTCACTATATCACTTTTGCTTCTTTACAGCACCAGGTGTTCAGAGCTGTAGGAATTTTTATTCAGGTCCTGAACGGTGACGACACTGGTAAATGCCAGGCAAGTTAACACCTTAATCGCACCAATCACCTCAGATCACGTTGTTCTGAATCTGCTCTTAAGATATTTGAGAAAGCTCAACCAACTGATCACTTGAAAGTTTTCAGCACTCCACACAGGTTCTCCTTTGCAAGGGATCATTTCAGTCCGACAAAGAGTAAATAAAACAGTATTTAATGACGCAACTGGTTTAAATCAATGCCATTTCATCCTCTGAGAAAGTGCACCACAGGAATTAAGACATGGTAATATTTGTACCTGTGTTCTTTGTGTTCCAGTAACTGACAGTCTCTGCATGTCAGCCTGTCACATGTTTCACAGAAAAGTTTTAACTGCTCTTGTTTGTGGACAGGACAGAAAACAGGACGTTGACCAGATGCTCCCACGGCCTCTGTTTTTAAAAATAAACCATTTTTGCATTTTAAAATAAAATTTAGACAAACTTCCAAGCTAAGTAACAATGAAGAATTTGGACAAAGATGACTACAGACCTGTTCTCGCCCTGAAGTTACTGTGAATATGTTCTCATTGAAATACCTACAGTGCCAGTGGTTTATAGCTGCTTCCGCTTTATTGTATTTAAAGAGAAGGAGGAAATCCTCTCATCACAAAGACTCAAAAGACACTGGCACCTCTAAGAATGTAAAAACTGTACACTAACTCCAGGATCGTGTACACGTGTTTAAAGATTAAATTGCACACAATTTCACCTCTGACACACTGAAGATCAAACCTCGCACACTTTTATACTGTCAAACACCTAGAGGTTTTCTAAATTATCACTTCAAAAATCTTTATAAACCTCATTAAGTCATATGCAACTGAAGTAGTAAATGCAAAGCAAACATTGCCCGTGTTAAAGAGTTACTTAAACCCCAGCTAAATTGCTTAACTTTTCCACTTAGGCAAGTAACAGATAATAACAAAAAATAGTTCTGAGTTTACTAAAAAGCGCTGCATGGTCTTCTAAAGATATTTTGAGCTTAGCACAGAGGAAAGCAGCCTTTGGAAGATACAGCAGGTAAGGTATGAGACATGAATGTCTTCCTCAGTCTCCAACATTTCTGAAGCTTGTTATATCATGCACGTTATTGTAAAGAAAAGAGCGCTCGTGAATCTACAGCTGACACTCATTCATCGAAATTTAAAGTCTACAGGGCATATCTTAGAGTCTAACAAGAAAGAAGGGAACAAGTTCCTCCGAGAAAATAACAGATAGTATTCCCTGGGATCAAGAGAGTCACTAAGGATCGCTGTACGTCAGGTCAAAGGCAGGCTACGTTCTCGCCATACGCCAGCATACCGACGACTCACGGGCTTCCATCTTCATAAACACCAACCTAAATTTCTGATAGAAAGTTTACTGTACTGGAACAGCCACTTTTCAGCACCTCCCCACTCAGTGTACTGAAGGGGAAGTGGAACTATAGTATCCCTTCGACAGTCACAATATAGCACTCCTAATGAAAAACGTTAGTAATTCTTTGTAGGGCCCTGAAATTTGATTTCACCATAAGGGTTTCTCGTCTACTGGGATTAACGTTTAAACTTAAATAGGTAATATTTCTTCTTAAACAATACTTACTAAGACAAACAGGGAAACCTCTCCAAAAATGAAGTTTATTTGATAGAGCTGGCAGAAAACAAAGCAGCATAATTCCTTTGAAATGGCACAACAAAACAATCATGAAGATCTTAATTATTTTAAATGGAAAGAGCGAGCACAAAATGTCGAGATCTCTCTTCCTCAATATGATCAGTCTCTACCTACATCCAGATTGTGTAGAACTTATGGGTCTTTAAATTAGAACTTTTATCCCATTTACAAATAAAATCTTTTAAGATAAAATCCAGTTACCTTTTACCTGTTTTGAGAATGTTTTCCACATTACCTCAGTAGGTTACAAACAATGTATGGTCAAACAATAGGTTAAGAATTAACTTCTAATAAAGCTGTATGTCTATACAAACTGTACACACACTTCACACATTAAAATTTTGCTAACTGAAAGAGATATTAAACCTAAAATAAATTCAAGTTTCACATTTACTCAGCAATATCAATACAACAGTAACATCATATTGAATATGACTATAAGCTTATCTGATATACTTCTCTGCTGGGAGAACTATAATTGCTCCTTACAACCAAGTACAACAAAATGTATAATTTAATTCCCTTGGCCAACAGATAAGATTACCAAGATGTCAGTGCTCTCCAGATTTCAACCCCTCTGTTTTGCTAGTTATTCTACTAAATAAAAGGATTATTAAGAATGGACCTAAGTCCTTTCCAAAGACTGCAGTCTCATTCTGCTTCTTCTGTGCTTAAGCTATTTTTGATGGACTAAATCCATTTTTGATGGATTTTGATATTGGACATCAAACTGTACAAAGATTAGCAAATAACCCATTTCAGTCTACAATTTATTTTTTCCTCTATTTGTAAAGCTATCGGTTTTGCACTGTTAGCTTTTTACTAAAGTTTTTCCAAATCTTTCGGGAAAGCCATACAGCCAGTTGTTACCTAAATAACGCTCCCTCTCTCTTTTCACGTCTGCCAAAGAGAAAATGTTTTCACTACCAGCACGAGCCAAGTGATATCCAAACACTCACCTGAAGATACATCCTCTTTTTTTCTGATCATATGGTCTTTAGTAAATTTGACTCGCTGATGAGCTTCTATGCAAGTTTTGCACAACCATTCCCCACACTCCACACAAAATCCAACAGCGCTGGCATTATCTTCACAGCTTGTACACACCTGCAAACGGAAACAGTTGGTTACCATCATTTTCCTGGAAAGTATTAACATCTACAGGAACAAACCCAGCTCATGAATTCCGGCAAGCAGGAAAGTGCCACACCTGTTCTGACTTCTCGTCGGAGCTGCTTGGTGTTTCTGAGGTGTCTTTTACAAAGTAGTTATCCACCAGATCTATCTGTCTGCATTCTTGGCGGCATATCGGACATCTGATTACACCAACTGCAAAACAGAAAAAGTTTCCCAGTTCTAAGAAAAGGAACGTGAAAACCAACATGCCCAGAATCAAAAGGTGATAGGTATGAACGCGAAATCCTCAGATTGCTCATTTCACTTGGGTAAATGATCAAATTCCACAGTTGACATTACCCTTAAAAACCAGCCATTACCCATGTGTAACAGGTTTCCCCCAAAAAAACCACTGCAACAACCACCAAAAAACCCCAAACAAGAAAAAACCCCACAAACCACACACACCTCTTCAGAAAAGAATCCCTTACCTAGAATGAAGTTGTGATAATTTCTATGTCTTACTCAGTTCTTCCTACTGATTTCTTCCCGAAAAAATCCTTATTTTTAGCCAAGTCATTTGTTCTCCCCAAGCAAATGTTGTCTGCCTTTTTCCACCCCCCTCCCTCATTTTAGTCTGTTAAATTCAAGACACCTGTTAATTACTTTTTATAACAGTCTACTGTCCAGTCTGTCTCAAGACAAGCTTTAAGAGACACGCGCCTGGATAGTGAGGTGTGAATTGAGCGATGTTCATGAAAGTGTCAAAGCAGTAGTGTGTCACAATATTCTCCCAGATACAAGAGGATGTTTTCTAACGTAACCTGTTTCCAAGAAGTCAGGTGCAGTAATACAAACTATCTGAAGGCTTCAGGGTTTTTTTTCAAATAGGCTGATACCAAAAACCATGCGTTGATAGCAAAAAATCCTCTTGTGCCAACTACGCCTGCCTTTCTGCAGCACATACAACACTTTGCACGTATACGTGTACACGTATACGCACATACCTTTAACACTGGCTATCAATTAGACTAGTCCCTTTCCAGTATCCTGCTTTGTTATCCTCTGTAATTGCTAAATTAGAGCTTTAAGTCCTCAGCAGAGCTGCGACAAGTTATTACATGAACCAGATTGACATTTAAAGATGCTCTACGAACAACCTACATTAAAGGTTTGAAAACTTACTTCCTACTAAGGTAGTGGCTAACACTTTCTCCCCAGAAGAGTCATCTAGTCTTAAATCAAGTTCCTGTACAATTTTACTGTGAGCATAATTTTCAAGAAGTTTTCAAAGCAACTGTGTAATTGTACACTTTTATACCTGAAACAACTTTGAAAAGTAAGTGTAATTAAATGATGCTCAACTCCTTTGTGGATATTCAGTTAGAACAGCAGGACTTATTTCAGGGAGATTAATTACATTGGTAGTAAATTAGCATTAACTTTTTTCAAGTGCTAAAATTAACAATGGCTTCAGAACACAGAAGATTCACTGCAGAGCAACAACAATAATCCAACTAAAAATTCCTGTTTCATCAACCCAAACATGCTTCAAGAGCAGGATATGAAAAGTAACCAGTATTTCAGTGCCTACATGTACAAGAGCTTTCATATACACAATGAAGCCTCCTCCATATGCAGAAACTTGAGATTTTCTTACTACTGAAAGATGAAATTCTTTAGGAATACTGTAAGACATCTATCAGCTGATGTGTATATACTTACTGAACAAAAATTTCAAACATTTACCATTAAAACTATTCCATCCAAAACAGACCACAGCTAAACCTGATTTTTAGTGCTGTCTTGGGGTAATCACACAAAATATTGCAGGGGGAAAAAAAAAAAGCCCAAGATCTATAATCTTCACAGAACGCAAAAGTCAAATTTCACATATGCAAACCACTTCTGGTAAGGCAGGTTTTGTTTTCATTTTAAACTAGACAAATCACTGAAAGCTTGAATAAAATCAAGCTTTTTGCTGTCAAAAGAACGACGTTCCATGGGCTGGATTCTGACAAGTAATTCCACTTTGCCCATTGCTTCTGTATGAGAGGACACAGGGAACGGGTAGTCCACAAACACTGCTCTCAGCCAAACACCCGCTTTTTGCGCCTCCGTGTTCAAATACTTTGCACACAAGGTACCGCCAGCGTTCTGCACATCTCAATAGATCACAATCCTAAGACAATTCTCATTCAGCGTATTACACTTCATTTTCACATCTCAATGCCCATTATTTCCAACAGCAACTTTCCAGTCTTATATGAGCCACTATACATCTCATGCTCACTCACATCCTCGTCTTTTAATCTAATTAAAACAAACTAATGCTGCATTATTTGTACTAGAAACCAAACTGCATTACTGAAAAGATACAGACATCGCTGATTTTGAGAGGGAAGAGGGAAAATGAGAGAAAAATCACACTGAAATAGCATCCACATAGAAGAAAAACAGAAAGAAATCCTTCCCTGTCAAAACCTGAAATAATTTGCAAGCTAACGAGTTTATGGTAAAAATTTAAGGAGAATGTATTTTAGGATAAACTAAGGTTCAAATGTTTATATAACCTACTAGAAAAACAAGGTTTCACTGCCACTTTCAGTCCAAAAAAATTCTTACATAAGAAAATTAAAATGAAATAAAAATATCATCCTAGTTATACTCCAGCAGAACTTACTACATTGTTTTTCTGCATCAATTTAAATGAGAAGCTTAATACTGTTTAAAAACCAAAGCCAAACACATTAGCCCCAGTACACACATTCCCACTGTAACTCTGCTTTCAAAAAAGGCATGTAACTACTTGCAAGGAATGTATCAGATAGCACACAACAAAAACCATTGTTTAAAGATCAATTTTTTTTTTCTAAATGACAGCTGAATTAGAATTAGACACATTTGTAGAAATTATGAAGGTCAGACTGGTTTATGATCTCCCCCCCATCCTAATTATTACCATAAAGACTTCGTATGTTCTCAAAATGGCTTTGCATTATTTTGAAGCCATAAATTGATACTCCAGAGGTTAACGGCAGCACTACACCAAAGAGTTGAGAATCAGGAAGCTTCTTTCAGACTTCACATTTCAAATCCCATATAGCTCAGTTTCACCTAACCATAAACCAGAAATGCTTCTTCCTTGGCAAAAATATTTGAAGAAATAGTAAGTATTGACTGCATTATGTGAAAGTCCGCACTGAGGGTCTAAACCACTTTGAACCGCAGTTCCTTTCTGACTTACGGTACAATATCATCAAAATCATGTCATCAGCATTAACCACAGGAACACAGTTATACTTCAGGTGCAAAAAAAAAAAACCCACCCCCAAAAAAACCCCAAAAAACCAAAGCACCCCACAAACGTCACCAGCCATCCACAAATGCTCCTGTGAATATCAGTACTTTCACGAAAAAAATCCAAGAACTTTGGACCTAAAAGGCCAAGGAAAATGATGAACTATTTTACAAGAGCCACAGACAACGGAAGCGAGCTCCCAAGCTTCTTATGTTGCACTTAAGAGGACTGACATCACGGGGTTTTCTACTTGTTTATATCACAAGCCTCACCATAGTGAGTATAAGACCTGTAACTTCCACATACTCGATATACACAGCTATGTGTACCAAATTTTCCCTTCCCTGCCATTTCCAGTAGCACTGCAGTGAAATTAATTCCATCCTATTCCCGATTAATTGTGCAGTTCAGATCAGATCCTACTTCTTGTCATGCACATCTCCAGACATTATCCAGAACAGCAAAAATATTTTCAATCACACACGTTCACCGTCCCCCATCCGTTGCTATGCACAACACGGAGCCTAAACTGAGTTTCGTTTCTCGCCTTTTACCCTACCTAAGGCTGATTTAAGTGAGAAGCGGGAATAATTTCTTACCTGGAAATTTGGTTTGAGAGTCACCAATCCAGCAGGTAGGAAAAGCCTGCCTTGCATGGTCAACCCCACTCAAAGGGAGACAGGCTTCACTTGCCATCTTCTCACACCATGAGCCATTCCTCCCTACCAGAGTTTCCAAAGCCTGCAACAGAGGGAGAAAAGAAACTCCCAGATTCCTTGCGACACGCTCCCGAGGAGTCTCCTGACATGGCCAGACAGAGCAATCTGCCCGAGACACTACTCTGAGCTGAAGAAAACCGCAACAGAGAGCTGACGGAGCGCATCCCCGCAAGAACGTGGCTTTTTTTGACAGCGGGAATGAGCCCTGGGGAGTCACCTGAGCCTCCCTGCACCCCGGCTTTCTCCAGCACCGCGACGCAAGGCAGAGCCCCCGGCGGATGGAAACAGGCACACCAGCCACGTCCCGAGAACGGTCCCTGCCCTGCCCTGCTCAGGAGCCCACGTCTCTGCAAAGCAGGATGTGTATCACGAGCGCAAGACCAAGGAAGAGCCGTACAAGAACATTTTGGTACAGCTCCGACTCTGTTGGCAACTTCTGCTGAGGTTATCGCCTACGCTTCTAACCGAAGCGGAACACAGAATACTCAGGTGAAGAGTTTTGTCAGAGCAAAGAGGGGCAAGTAGCACAAATTTTACTATACGACACCTGTTGAGCCATTAGTTATACAACTGCTAGAAGTCACATCTTCCTTATGTTGCACGTTAGACGTTCTTATTTGTCAAAGACTTTATTAAGAACGCTAATGAGAGTAGCATCTATGTAATCCTTTTAACTGCTTATGATTTAGATAAAGCACACTAAGCTAGACCACAGACATCAAAGGATGTCAGAAAGCATAAAACTGAAGTAAATTGAGGAGAAAAAGTAATTTCATTTTCATAAAAAAAGACAGCTAAAAAATCTGCAACATAATCCAGCAGCAAATCACAATGGAACATTTCAAAGAACTTAAGATTTCAAACAGAAGACACTTTTAATCTACCATTGCCAACTAACACCTAAGGCTGCAACAAAAGTATTTTTCTTAATTGTAACTCTGAACTACGAGAATACCTTGTAAATATTGATGTTTGACATTTCCCAAGGGTAACGGCATTCCTCTGAGGGCCATTTGCATGCATCTCAAAACAGGCAAATTTTTGAACAGGTTCATATAACTATGAAAGCCTTCATGTGAACTAGTTTCAACAGGACATTTAATTCAAAACCTGCTTAGAATTCATTTCTCCAGCTTGACATCCTAATCCTGACAACACTAAAATACTCTTCCAAATTTTAAAAATGCTCGAGAGCCACAGAGATGGAGGGGGAAAGGCTTGATTCTCTAGACTTCCAGTCTTGCAGGGTCAAACCAGAGAAACTGTCTCCAGAGAAAGCTTATGTCAAGTCTTCGGCTAATATACCCACGCCAGTTTGATATCAAGGAATCGAGACTCTCGACACTTTTAACATAAATTGAAATCGAGTGATCTGCCCCCAGTATATCTCTGCTAGGCAAGACACATTCTGCCCGGTAAGACAGTATGTGTTCAATGCATACCTACTACTTTTGCACAAGAAGAAAAAACCTGGAATTTTCTGAATCTTATCCTTTGCTCCCTACCGTTCCGGAATTCCATCAGATGTTTCAGAGACCATCTGTAGAAGAACAAGGCTTCCTGAGGATCTTCAGGTAAGAAGTGACCTGCTTCCTAGCCAAACTCATGTACTACCATCCTCTTCATCTGGTTTTCTAGGTTTTGTTTATAAACACTGGAGAGAAGCTGGTTGGGAGCCTCCAGCCCTGGGGTTAGAGAAAGGTGGAAGTGGGGAGGAAGGGAAAGGGAACACAGTTACGACAAGCCATGGAAACCTACCTACTTGCTACAAACATTACACTAACTAAAGCAAAACAGCTAACTTTTATAAGAAGCTTCCATATTAAAAGATCCATACATTCTCTTGTCGACTTCAAGTTGACTTCAGTCAAGTTAAAGTGAACACATCATGGCCTAACCAAACACTTTTAAACCTTACAGAGAACAAAAAGCAATAATGGAAAGTGAAGTCACTGAAGTTCTAGCTCCAAGACAGCCTTTGGCAACAAAATCAAGGGTATTGCTGAGGGCGAGATCATCGATCCGAACAGAGGAGGGCACGGCACGCACACGATGTACGTGATCGAGGGATAAGACGTTACAAAAAGCACTTTGTACTTCAGTAGCACCGTTCACCGCTGGATCCCCTCCATCACTGGGCTAACGTGGGGAGTCTTTCCAGGAGCTCAAAATTAGAAATTCAAAGTATCTCTCAAAGTTTATTCAAATATTGAACCCAAACACTTGCATTCCTAAATACCCCTACTTACATACTGAAATTCATATTTTCATAAGATCCAGCTCCTTTAACAAAAGCTCTGCTCTGTAACACAAAAATCTTTATAAATTCTTTACTCACTTCATGACATTCAAGAGTACTAAAACCCTAAAACACGAGTATAAAAAAGCGACTGTGACCTCACTTTAAAACCTCAAAATACAATGTTTAAAGTTCTTCATGGACAAGAAGTTGAAGAGGACCGAACAGCACGTCCTTCAGCAGAAAAGGCCAACACGTCCCAGGCTGCATTAGCAGGTCCAGGGCAGCGATCCTTACCCCTGTCCGGCACCCTGGGATACTGGGCCCAGTCTGGGACTCCCCAGTACAGGACAGACCGACAAACTGGGGCAAGCCCAGCAGGACGATCAGGGCTGGAACACCCAATGTGCGAGGAGAGGCGGCACTGCTCAGCCTGCACCGGGGGACCCACCGCCGGCTGCCAACGCATCGGGGCAAGGGGCGCGCACCCAGGCTCTTCCCAGAGACGCGCAGTAAAAGGACAAGTAGTAACACGCACAAGCTGGAACAAGGCAAAGTTTGCTTCAATGTCTTACATATTTTACATATTTACAACGAGGATGGACAAACATTGCAAGAGAAGCTCAGAGAAGCCGTGAAGTTGCCATCTCAGAAGACAGTCGCCACGCAACAGGACAAGGCCCTGAAGACCCTCCTCTAACCAGACTCGCTTTGAGCAAGAGGTCGAGCTAGACACATCTGCAAGTCCCTGCCAACCTACACGATGCTGTGCTCCTTCAAGAACATTCACTTTAAAGAAATGGCTTAGGTTTTCTGTTGATACTTATGAGACATCAATTAGCACTAGCCTAAAACTCTACCGCATCATCCACTGACAATCAAGTCATCAACCTTCTACAATCCTAATTGCGGTTGAGTGAACAGCATCATTTTAGACATCTGGTTTTAAACACGCATGTTTGTTTTGGGTTGAAATGTGTCAGCCTGATTCCCAAGACAAAAGTCCTAAGTGAATATAAGAAAATTCAAAATCCTTTCAGCTGTTTACATTGTTATAATGATGATAAAGCATCACAGTTCAGGAAATATTTGCAAGCACTCGTGCAATCTAATAACTCAAACTTCCGTTTCAAGTTCAAACTTGGCATGTACGCAGTCCTCTAAGGAATGAATCTCTGCCAGGTTTCATTTATTGGCTGAGAACACCAACAGTAGTTACTGCATGTGCATATTATTTACTTCTCTCAGAAGCGTAAGGGTCCAAATATGTTTCTGCATAGCTGTACATCAAAAATCCTGTTCTAGTTTCAGTGATTAGACCTTGAAATCAACCTTCACAGGTCAACTGAGTGACACAATCAGACTTAAATCTATCAGAATATAAATATATTTTTAAAAAAAAAATATCTGCTTTCAAGGTCCACTCCTAACTCAGCTTTTTTTTTTTTTGACAAACAATCCTTGCTTATATCACAACTGTCATGCATTTAACTGACAACACATTATATTTAATACGGCAAAGCAATTTATAGCAGTCAGACATCAATTCTTATAAAAATAACACATGCCTAGAATGTTCTTAGACAAAAACATTATTTTAAAATACACTATTAATTTAGATTCAAACTTAAGTTTCAGACCAAGATTTTTAGTAAGTCCAGAATATGAACTGAACATTTTTCAGGACTCAGCCTTTGCTAGGCTCCAGCATATATTCATGACCCTCACTCATCAACACAAGAGAAAGTTAAAGAATCAAGAGAGTTCAGATGATGCGGACTAACATTCACTGAAACGGAGGTGGCCTGCATTCATATAGCTTAAGCAGTGTATTTGATGCAAGAATTTTCAGCTTTCTAGACCAAAAATACGGTAACTACTACTGAACTCTATTTAAGTGATATTTCACGCTCTCATAGACATCGTACCATTTTAACATCCCCCTTCCAAAGCAAATTAAAGATAGTTACTGTGTTATTTAATACATGGTTTATAAATACACCAATACCGGGTACGAGAGTTGAATTCAGTGTATCAAAATAATTTACGATACTATATATTATACCACTCGGTAGTAAATGTATTGTTCCTCAAATTATACATATGCGTACATTAACCGACTGTGTATGTTTCCCTTAGGCTCTCTGAAAGTATCTTGCAGCTCTTTTTTAGTTTTTCAGCCTAATGAAGATTGTTACATTCACGAGGAGCTGGGAGAGCCACACATTCTCTCCATTGAGATAATCTTCTTAAGAGAGATTGTAAATATCTCAGTGAGGCAGCTGAATCTCAAAACAACCTATCTTCCCAGGAGCAGAAGCAGCAGCGGGTGCATAAAAAGTTGTTTTGCAGTATTTGTAAGCATCTGAAATCTCTAACTCAGAAATTAACATTTCTTGAAATACTGCGATACAAATACAAGATGGCATTTTCTTGTAACCTATTCAATCCAAAAGGAAGAGTACAGTTGGAGAACTAAAACACCAGGCATTAAGAAATCATCTATCCACCAAATAAAACACACATTCCAGTGACCCATTAAGTCATTAAACTGAATACGAGATGATACTTTTTATGTTCATTAAATAAATGACGTAAAAATACATATGTTTTAAATACATAAAACAAAAAACTTTTTTCCCCAACATAAATGTAAACAACAACAAAAAAATCCTTTCACCAGTGCAATAGGTATAAACCTACCAGTTACTTCTTTATAAAACAGTAAACCACAATTTTAGATAATTGTTTTAAACTTTAGTCAGCGTTTCTCAAACTTTTAGGAACTGAGGCCATTCTTCCCTTCTGTCCTCTTTCAGAGTGTCTCTCAAGGAAGTGGCAACAGGGCAAAAGAAGCCATGCTGACATAGCCCACAAACATCTGCCTTCAAGCATCCTTACTGTTTTCTGAGAGCAGCAGCCTGC